GTAGGAGTAGTCGTCGCGTTACTACTAGTAGTTAGTTGGGTAGGGAAAGGTAAGTTAAGTAGGAGGACGACGGTAGGTACGACGTGGTAAGGGAAGGTAGTCCTTACTAGTACTCTCTATATATATATATAGATAGAGAGAGAGAGAGAGAGAGAGGGGCTTAAAGAGTGGGAAGAGATGGAGATGCTCCTCATATGACAGAATAAAAAGTTATAGTAAAGCAAAACGGCAATGCAGTTTTAGTGGAGCTCAAAGGGGAAGTGATTCGGACCTATTCCTTGTTCCCCATAGGAAAACGGTTGTTCATCACTTATGAATTGGTAAATCTGGATCCCAATGGACAGGTTTTAGAAAAAATATCTCAATATCCCCGGTTTTTTTTGTTTCAGTTTTTTTATAAACCCAAGGTTTCAAAAAATATTTTCTAACCTTCTGACCATATTAAACTTGTTTTTTAACCTAAACAAATGTGAGAAAACATACTCTTTTTAAACCCAATCCTTTCTCTTTCTTCACTTATATATCCCAAACTTTTCTTTTTGTCTCTCTTCATGTGTATGTCACTCTCTTTTTCTTCTCGTGTTTTTTCAAACATCTCTCTCTTTCTGATAACCTCTCACCTCCATAATCCTTTTTGTCTCTCTAGAAGTTTGGGAGGATGGTTTTTTAAAAATGTATGTATTTTTAGATTTGTTTGACCTAAAAAAACAAATTTACATTAACTCAGGAGATTAGAAGAAATAAAATCTATGATTTTTATGCCTCAAGATATATTTTAAAACCTTGGGTTTATTCGGAGATCCAAAATCTTTTTCTCTTTTATATTCTTACATCTCAATGTCGAGATGATTGATTAGAGGTTTTTTCAACATTAAAACAATTTTTTCCTATGGATTTTTGAAGTACATATATAATTCTAAATTTTAAGATTGCAATCATATATAAACTTTTTCCAAAAATAAATGAAACAAAATAAACATTGAAGTAAGGGTTTGTGGGATGGGGATTTAGAAGGCACTTAAAACCACATTAGTTAAATCTTAGAAAACAAAGAAAAAAAATATTAAGGGGAGCTTAAGGGGGGAAATCCAAGTCGGGACACGTAACATCCGAGAGTCGGTTCAGTCCGAACCATGGATCAATGGGAAATCAAAGGGTTTTGAAATGGTATATTTGATAGACCATTAACGATTGAGACTTGAAATGTTAGCATCACTTCTCTAATTTCCACGCGGTAACTGACTTATTGTTCTTATGGGCATTTAAGGTCCGGCATGTGCCTTTCAATGAGGGGAGGACCCATATTGACTGACTTTGCCTCAAGTGAACCCCAAACTTCATAAATGTAGCAGGTATAAAATGCCATGCCCCATGTACTCATTCAAGAGGCAGGAACACTCATCCCTCTCTCTCTCTCTCTCTCTCTCTCTCTCT